CCGATGTGGCTCGTCGTGGGACGGTTCCGTCATTTGAAATCCGTCTTTGTGACAGTTTGTATAGGTCCCGAGACAACTTGAATCGAGCATCATGTCGCCGTATCCACCGACGTATCGGTCGTCGATACGAGTTTCTGGTTTGTAATATAAAAAATAAAATGGTCCTACGTCACTGTGTTTTTTATAAACGCGCCTTCCGACACGAGAAGGGATCGGATGTCATGGCGGGCGGGGACCGAAAGACCGGCTCAATCTAAATACTAAGCTTTTAATATTTTCAAATCCATCTGTAAACGCTCTAATAGGCCAACTTGTTTTGTCCAAAGCAAAAGGTGTCTGGAGTAACGCTCGATAAAAGGTTTTAGATACCTCTTTAGGGTAACGATAAAAACAGCCTCCTCTGGGTACACGGTCGAACGAAAAGGCCCCAAAATCCTGGACAAATGACGTGGTGAGATAACCTAGAGTAGTAGTTTTGTCGACTATTTCTCCAGAAATTTACACGAGAGTTACTGGAAATTCGCTTCGTATGTATTCCTTTCGTATGTGTTTCGTTTATTTTATATCCTGGTTACCTGTTTTGGACCTCCGGTGTGGTGTCCATTTACTCGTCGCTCGAAAGTCTGTATTTTCGCATTTTTTCCGTGTCTCTTTGAGGTCGACCCTATCCTTAGGTGTCGTGTGGTACTGTATGGGTGGGTGTACGGGATTTGGGAAAGTCAGTCCAACGGCAACAAGGTGACGGGAAGATTTCTAGGCGTCTGTAGATTTGTATCTAAGTGGGTGCAATCTTCTCTGGTAATTCAGTGAACTCTGTTACTCTATCGACGAAAGTCTGGTTACGAAGTGTCTTTGATTTCCAAATTAACAACTACTACCTTAGTTTCGACTTTGATATATTTTTCCTCTAAAAACTTTATGATTGTATTTGATACGAAGACCATGTGACTCTTCTTTTATTTTATTTAAGATAATGATGGGCTGTATAATTATTATAAAACGTAAGGTAACAAATCGCAAAAAGCGAAAACTAAGACTATAGAACGACGCTCTCTTGCTCATTTCTCCTCTATCAGACGACACTGTAATGAAATTTAACACCAATTCCCATCTATCGGTGTAACAAGAGCGACTGGACAGTAGTAGTTTGGCGCCGCAGTATAAAGTAATACACAAGGTAAAAATAGACTTCAACATGGGTACCTACAGTATTTCTTCTCAAGATGGCGTTACAATAAAAGGTACCGCTGAAAAGCCGGTTAGAACTAAGACTTAACCCGGTCTTCTGAGCGGTTGTAGTCGTTTCGTATAAAATTAACTCCTCTACTAGTGATGCACCTGTCTTCAAAGGTTTGGACAATACCAGATGCCGTGAAGGTACAGGTGCGGCTGACGTACTTGTCGCATCTTTTTAGTCCGGAAGTTTTATTTTCAAACTGAAAGGGGGGGGGTTTTTGGGTCCTTTCTTAAGGTGTAAAAAAAAGAAAAAAGAAGTGAGATGTGTAGTCCGCTGGGGAGCTTTGCTGGGTGGTCAACTCTTGGGTGACGAGTATCTAAACTACCAAGTCCTACAAAGTATGACGCGGTGGTCAAGTTACTCCCTCTCTCTGTACTCCCATCGGACTGTCGGTACTGTAGAGATTGGAAATTGAGTTCGTAAAATATTTTCGAAAGAACGTTGGACAAAGTCGACGTTATTATCACTAAGGACATCTTTCACTTGGTTTTGCATTACAACACTACTAGGTGTTTGGTTTTGTTCATCAATCTCTGCGACTCTTGACGCTATCTCGACTTAAAGTGACTCTCAATCCAATTTTACTAAGACACCGAACATTTATGAGGAATTTGTTGTTTTAGGTCAGTGTGTAACAAGTATTTGTATTTGTAACTACTTAAGCCGAATAGGTCTCTGTATAGGGACACCAAACTTTTGTCTAATATCCAATTAAACTGGTAAAAAACATTAAATAATTCATTTCTTTTGTCATAACGTCGGGATCTTTAACATCTTTTCCGTCATCTAGAATAGTCGAGTAGGAACTGTTACAAAAGGGTCTCCTGTGTCAACCCGACAAGAGAAGAGTTAGTGCACGCACCACTGATCTCCCACACAGAACTCATTCGTCATGATATAGTATAGATTCTCGATAGCTAACCGTAATTTATGTGATTCAGAGAGACTCCTGACCTCTTATACATTATTCTTGTGACTAGACTCCGGTGAGAACAGAATACTCTTTGTGTGTGTGTATACATGTTTGTGTGTGTGTGTGTGTGTGTGGTGTGTGTGTGTGTGTGGTGGTGTGTGTTGTGTGTGTGTGTGTTTGTGTGTGTCATGTCGTGGGGGAGAGTTGATAAATGAATTTTCTTCTACGTTTTAAACACTCAATATGAGTGCCAAGGTGTGTAACAAAACACTTATTTGAAAAAACGTGAAGGAAGATAGAAAAAAGCCCACACTAACGTACACCTCGTGATAGAGCGAGGAGCCGGGGGGAACGAGAAATATGTATAAGATACCATTTAGTAATTAGTATTTCCCTTGGTTAAGTCATTGTGGTAAAAGGGTACCCGTGTGTGAAACCTTCGCGCGTGTGGGAACTCGTTGGTATCCTGTCCTCCCGATAGCGATTGTTCGAGAAATTGTTTATCCTCTGGAGCAGAGAGAGGAGCTGTGGATTATTGTCATTGATATCGTACAGTAACAAAGTATTTGTACTTTACAAAGTAATAAAGTACAGTGTTACACTGTACTGTATTACTTTTATTCAAACTGTATTCCCTTCTTATCATGTAGTCTACACTTCTTCCTTTCATTAATACATTTAAATCACCTGACTACAGCATAACATACCTGCTGCAACCCTGTGCTGCTGCTTCTCTCTGCCTCATCCTCTATTGCTGGAGGCAGCTCCACCTCATCTGATCTCTGATATGAAAGCAATCGTGTTATGATCATATTGAGCTATTGGTGTGAGTCTAACATTAAACAAGCAGTCTGCTTGTCATAAATTGCTGACGATACATTTGAAGTGGCAATTTGTTGAGTCACTGCCGCTAAATGCCGGTAGCATCAAGCTAGCAAATCCTGCATTAGCCTCACATCAACAGGTGTAGACAGAACATCCAATTATCCTGAGCTAATTTACTGAATAAACCAACTCACATCTCCTGTCTTTTTTTTCACCCAACTCATTAGACTATTCTTCTGCTGGCGTTTCATTGTTGTTTTCCGTCAAATTCAATACTGTAGTTCAAAACCGCGGTACCTCACAATCTGTGAGCTATTTTTAGAATGCGCACGCTACGTTCGTTGTCGCGTTCGCATGCGTCCACCTGGGCAGGCTGTGTGTCCTTCTCCCGTGACGATAACGGCTTGCGGTTAAAAAATTATAATAATAAACGAATTTGAAACTGGGGGGGGGGACAAACTGGCAGACAGCAGAGCTCGGCGCAATAAAGCAGATTTGTCTGACTTTTTTTACACGTTGTTATTCTCCTCCTTTCCTCCGCTCTTGTCTATTGTGAGTGTGTGCATTCGTGTGTGTGTGTGTGGGGGGGGCGGAGCAGTGGACACTGAAACATGCACATACATTGGATAAATAACATAGGCGTTTGGTTTATTTAATAAAATGTCGTAGAACAAAACGTGATCCGTCTCTTGAATTTGTGTCAACCACAAACCTTATTTCGAGCTATTTTCCAAAATCCCATTGACTCTGAGACGAGGGAACCGGTAGGAGTAAAATGCTAACTCACTTCCGGGTTTTAGGACTCGTCACTGCACCACTCTATTATTTTTTGTTTTTTTTTACACAGTTGTCTGACTGCCATATAAGACTACATTTTGACCAGTCTGTTTACTTTAAAATATATCGTTTCCCCGTTCATGTTTCTTCTTTGCTAAACTGAGAATCACATCCTGAGCTAGACATGATAATTCAAACTTTTATATCATCCCAGTGAATTACACATTTTGGCATCAGAAGATTTTTTTTTTAAACCTTCATTTAACCAGGTGGTCCCATTGAGATCATCGACAGGTCTCCCTTTTTCAAGGGAGACCTGTCCATTTACTATGACTGCTTATGTAACCGGCAAGTGCACACACAGTAACATGTATCTCATAGTTAAGGCTGTTACATCGTAAGTACATTCAAAATGGCAAATCTGGATGTATGCAAAATCCCATCAACTGCACTCTTCTGAAAAAGAAAAACACAGTCCAGTTTGGAACCTTCTTTTCTCCTTCACTTGTATAAATGTCCTTGCAAATATTAATTGCTGCATTCTTGCTTTCTGTCGCACTCGGGTCAGGTCTAACATTGGTTCCCTGCCGGCCGTACCATAGAGGGCACAGAGGAGAAACCTGGGGGGTATATAATGTGTATACATGTGTGTGTTCTTTCGAGAGGGATTCATACTTGGTGGTATGTCTCCCTTGGGCCAGTGTAAAGCTTGCTGGCCCTACGGGAGATGAGCTCCATAATAGTCACCATGGCAACAGGCAGAACCCTTCTAGTACCCGTCGAGTGCCACAGCTCCTGGAGCACACATCAGTGTGTGTGTGTGTGTGTGTGTGTGTGTGTGTGTGTGTGTGTGTGTGTGTGTGTGTGTGTGTGTGCGTGCGTGCGTGCGTGCGTGCGTGCGTGCGTGCGTGCGTGCGTGTCTCTAGTGTTGTGTAAACCAATAGCGGCTGAGGAGGAAGAATATACATGGTGGGATTATGTATAGAAATGGAATGCAGCCAAGCGATGTAAATTCATACAGGAATACCTTGCAGAGTAATTAAATTAAATGTAATCCAATCATTGTGACACAATGCAATTCTATAACCTGACAATGTATACAGCCAAATGCAAATATCTGACTTCCTTGAAAGCCTGGAATACACAATGTGGTATGAAATAAGCTTCCAGCTGTATGACTGTGTTGGTGACATGTGTGTGTGTTTTGCCCAGTGATTGCATTACTCACGTGAGCAGGCCATGGAGCGTGGGTCGGCCTCGGCACGATAGAAACCTTTCTCGCAGACGCACTCGACGGCTTGTTCCTGCGGGGACGAGCTGTGAGGAGGACATTTGGTGCAGTAGGCATCAGTGGCTGAAGCTTTGTAGGTACCAGTTCGGCACGCTGGAGAGAGGAGACAGATAAACACAGGGTTAGATGCTGTGCTGTGTTGACCCTTTAAGACTTTTGCCCTTTTTCATACACCAACGAAGTCTGTGCCAGAAATCAATGTCCTCCAGAAATGCTTTTATAGGATAATTTAGGTCAATTAAAGCTTGGGTTACATTTTTTAAGATTGATTTTTTCATTTACCATAACACTATTCTCGCCAAAGGAACTGACAGCAGCATTGCTTAAAAGTCACTGCATACTGTGCTACGCAGTCACATGATAGGGTGGAGGTTGTAAACAATCATTTGCCTGCTTCAACACTTGTTAATGTTCCTCCCGCTGTATGACTGAGTACAGTGTCATAATAACTGACAGAAATAATGCTTCAACAAAAAATAAATTAAACCAGAATTCTGCAGAAGTAGAGTATGAGGGAACTGCAGACACTCAAAGCAGAACATGTGAAAAAAAGGCAAAAACAACAGGCTACAACAAAGCTTTCATAGACACTGATAGGTCATAAGAAGTGCCATGAAGCACCCTTGGCTAAAAAAAGGAGAAAAAAAACATTTGATTTAATATATTGTGACATTAGGTCTACGTGAGATCCTCTTACATCAGGCTGAGGGCCTGTATAACCACAGGGCGGTACAGTAGAATAACACAGTGCAACAGCAGATCAACTGTCATCCCTGTTATATCAGATTTAGATCATCTGACAACCGGGGGAACAGAAAAACACAGGCGCAGTTCCAGCAATAGTCACAATATCATATTATGACTATTGCTATGGCTGTTTCAGTGGCTGCATATTAGTCATTATGTGGAGTCATAAAACTGAGGAGGGAAAACCGTGCTTCCGCTCAACAGGAGCTGTCTGCTGAAAATAGATTGGGGACGTGAATGATTTCCCTTTTTGCATCTCTAGGCAGTAAAATGGAATTCCTGACGTCCCCTTTGGTAATCTGAATATAGATTACGCATGTATTTATTTATACATTCACAGGCCTGGTATTCTCATCTTCGCAAGCTGCCACGGCGGTAAATAGTATTACAGTGTACAAAACCCCACGTTAAAGAAAATGAGGGCGTCTCAAATGCAATTCAATAGATGCCCTGTGTGTATGTTAGTGCTTGGATAGGTTGGATCAATGATATATAGAATCCGCCAGGTGCTGATTGCACGTTCGTGTGCTGAGCGCTTGTGTGCAAAGGTGTTAAGTACGTGGCGAGTGAGAATGTGTGTGTGTGTTTGTTTGTGTGTGATCGTGTGTGTTCGCTTGCTGATTGCTTGTGCTAGTGGTGAAGGTCATGGATTTAATCAAGCCACACGTCACTCGTCCCAGAAAGGCTGTAAATTATCACACACACACACACACACACACACACACACACACACACACACACACACACACACACACACACACACACACACACACACACACACACACACACACACACACACACACACACATTCTCTTACGTAGTTAACCTGCTTGATAGAGGGATGGTAAAGTGGACTAAAAGAAGTGTGTTTCCTCACTGTGGAGGTAAGTTCTTCCACCTGGACGATATGCTCGCTCGCATGCACAGTATTTTTAGGCAAATCATTCATCATAGGGGAGCAAAGTCCAGTAGCACAATCCCCAAAAGACCTGAGAGAACACTAGCAAAGGGATGTGTGTGTGTGTGTGTGTGTGGGTGTGGAAAGGAGAGAAAGAAAGAATAAAGGAAATAAAGAAAGAGGAAAGGAAAGGGAGTGATAATTCTCAAAGGGCTTCTGCTCTCTTTCCTTCTTCCTGTCAGCTTCCAAGGTAATGGGTGCCTATGTGCTGTGCTAGTGACTGTGTGTGTGTGTGTGTGTGTGTGTGTGTGTGTGTGTGTGTGTGTGTGTGTGTGTGTGTGTGTGTGTGTGTGTGTGTGTGTGTGTGTGTGTGTGTGTGTGTTCTGTTGGCTGGGCTGTAGGAGTAGGGTGGAAAAGCAGCTTTTCTCCGGGGACGTTCCATCCGGAGAGTCCTGGCTCCGGGCGCTGGCCAGCCACAGAGGCACAAAAGGACCCTTGCGCTAGAGGACAGACAGGGCACCCCATGCCAGGCCTGGCGTATAAACAACTGCCTGATCAAAAACTTTTCGCAAGAATGGCGGCTTGGCTGCTCTGAGTAGAGCTTCATTCTCCCTCCTTAAGTTTTCTACTCTGCTTTTCATCCTTGTTCTCACTCTCCCGCTTTTCTTGCCTCTTTTTTTTGCTCAAGTTCCTTCACGTGTGTGCCCCATGGGAAATGTGTTACTTGAATTGGTTCCCTTATGATTAATGATTTACCATAGATATGTAAAAGAGACAAGGGGGCCGAGGCAGCGAGATAGTGCTCACATGCAATCACACCCGAAAAAAGATAGAAGAAGTGCAAAAAAGTTTATTCACAAAAACAATGTTGTGGAACCGTGAGTAAACTCACAATTTGCATCTTCTTTAAAGTAATAGTTGATAATGCTGTACTGTGTGTGTGTGTGTGTGTGTGTGTGTGTGTGTGTGTGTGTGTGTGTGTGTGTGTGTGTGTGTGTGTGTGTGCGTGTGTGCGTGCGTGCGTGCGTGCGTGCGTGCGTGCGTGCGTGCGTGCTACCGAGGCGGTTGTTGAGGCCACCTACTTAAAAATTGATACATCAAGCGTCAGTGCAGAAGTCTGACGAGATTGAACCTGACGTCCTTTACGGCCACCGGGGTCGCATCTGTATGTGTGTGTTTGATGCTCATGTTTACATTGCTGTGAAACTTGCTTTCGGTTCAGTCGACATGTTTCTGGCAAAACAAAGTGTAAAAAAAAAAAGCCCTATTATGTGAAAAAAATATATAGAGTTATTTGCGAATAAATGATTAGATGCTCAATGCTGCGTTAGCTTGCACACACTGCGAGGACAAAGAGCTGGTGGAAAGTTGGCTAACATCCCTTTAGTGGGACACTGCAGGAGAAAATGACACATGTGACTACATTAACTCAGAATGTGCTCGTGTAGTCAACAATTTTCCTGGTTGATAAGTGGAAGTCATATGTGCAAGTGTTGTTTGTTTGGCTTGTTTATAGAGTAAGGAGCAGAGCATGAGTGTGTATGTTTGAATGTGTGCGAGTGGGTGGTAATGAAGGTTTGTCTGAAATAAAGATGTCGACATCAGAGTCCAGCTGCCTGCTGTGAACTAATCCCTAATCAGAGTTCATAACAACCTTCACCACTATAATATTCACCATAAGTACTAATCCTGTGAAACACACACCATTTCTGCCGAAGCCTCTTGTGATGACATTACATCCGCACGTTTGATGTTTCTTTTTTCCCAAAGTAATCATTATATCAACTTATTAAACAATAATTACCTCTTATAATGTGTACTACAAACAACAGGAGGAGCATTACAGCTTCACAGCACTTTGCCTTCACAGTTCTTTTTTATTTGTTTATAATGATTATTGGGGTGATCAACAAAAAATAACAGCTTATCTGCACAAGTTGCCTCTCTTTGTTTGTTGTTGGGTTTCTGCTGCTTGCTTTATTGTGCAAATACTTATCCTTTTTGTGAGGCAGTTATTAAATACCTTTTTGTTGTTAAACAGTTATTTCATTGTTTATTTATCCTTTATTTGGCCTGGAGGTCTCATTGAGATGATAGATCCCCTCTTTCAGGGTTGTATTTATGTCATATTTAAACATCACACCTCTCACTAAAACAAATTACCATTACTGAAAACAATCAACAAAAACCCAGAAACAAACATTTAAACATTGATTAGCTTATCATAAGCAGTCTGAACATGAGATCTCTAAGGACAAGTCAGAAACCTTTTTTGTTGTTGTTTTTCTATGGAAATAAGAAATGGCCATGGTTGCTGATAAGTGGCAGTAATTGCTGTCTAGTTTAACCCAATTATCTAGTCATGTCATGACTGATAAACAAGCTCTAAACATAATGAATTACATTGCTACTCACCATGTTGATTTTTAACAGAAGGGGCATTTGCAATTTTGTTTTGCTTGTACTTAGCTTTTGCTCATTGGTACTAACACATCAGCATACTGGGTCTCAATGGAAGGCTAACCCACCTGAACTAACATTATGTATGAACGCTGTATTTTAGACTAAATATTGTTCTGTCTCATCAGATTTTAGGACAGATAGATATTTATTTTTTCCCCATCTGAATTGAAAGGAATAGGCTTTGAAAAGGCATAATAACAGTCATAAAGTCACTCAAATACATTCAAGTCCATAATGACATATATAAAAATGTACATTTAAAAGTCTTTGATGTTGGTCATGGAAATGAAATCCATTTACGATAGAAAATATCCTTGCAAACTCATAGTTAATGAATCAATTTTGTAAGAACCTGTGCCATGTTTGGACGTATATGGGTAGATGTTTTTCGAATTGCTTTAGAAAAAAAAGGTCCCACATCAGAATGTCAGTAACCGTGCTTTTACTTTACCATTACGAGGAGGACTAGTTTACCGTTTCGACAATCCAGCTTTGCTTTATATTGTGTAAGCATCTGCATTGCATTGGATTGCATTGCAAACATGCTTCAACTTATTTGCTGTATGACACAAAGAAAACTACCCATTACTAAACAAGAAGAAAAGTGTGTTGCTAGTGAGTGACAAGCAAGCTTTGCATGAACATCAAGCCACATTCAGTCTTGATTAATTGAGATGATCATATTCGAACTACAGTATGCCTTTTAAACATATACCTGTGGTGTTTATTTTTATTATTTTATTATATTTGCTTTGTAATGACTGTTGTAAAATGCCATTATATAATGTGTTTTTACTGTATTTATTCCTAAAAAGTATTTTAATTTGTTTTGTAAAGCACTTTGAACTGTCGCGTACAGAAAAGTGCTAAATAAATAAACTTGCCTTGCCTTGATCATTTTTAGCAATGAGGCAATTACTTTTGCCTGCAAGCCTTTTGTTATGGAAAGGCAGGATCACATGAGATATGAGCGATTTCCAGACAT